GGATTGAACTTTAGCTTCTGCCCTTCCTCCAAGCTACATTCTCCATGGCACTGTGCCAGTGGCAGGCGCCGACTGACAAAATGGATCATTGCTTCCTGGATCATTAAATGACAGGTGACAGGAAGAGACAGTGCATCCAGGTAGGAGCCATCTACCTGCAGCCTGTTGTCCATGCCCCCTTTGCCCAATCCTGCAGAAGGACCCAGTGGTGGGGACAGCAAGTGCCCAGTGTGCAGACTCTGGCCAGATGTCACCAGCTTTCATTGTCCTGGAACCAAAGTGCAGCTCCTGCTGGGTTCCTGACTATGACCCACACATCCCTCAGGACCAATTTATGTGATTTTAATGCATTTAAAATATTCTCTTCACTGAAGCTCAACTTGAGGAAAGTATGCATCTTATGGAGAGAAAGGGGGAGAGGAGATCAGTCATAAAATAAATCCTGGTTCCCAATGTAAAGTTTACACAATATAAAATAATTCACTTCCTCTCTCTTCAGTGAGTCAGTCCTGATGGCTTTTGTTGCCACAAAATAAATGTCTTGAAGATTTCAAGTACAAAAACCACTTAAACTTCCTCAGAAAGATCTAGTGTTTTTCTAAATAAACCCTAAAATCCTTCATAGTAGTACATGCCTGTAAGTCTAGCACTCTGGGAGGCTGAAGCAAGAGGATCTCAAGTGGGAGATCAGCCTGGGCAGCTTAGCAAGACCTTGCCTCAAAATAAAAAATTTAAAAAGAGGCCCAGGGATGTATAGCTTGCTGTGAATATCTTGGGTTCAATCCCCAGTACACAAAAGTAAATAAGTAAAATAATAAATCAACGAACACTAGGCTTAAAAATAAACACAGTGATGCATTTTAAGGCTGGTTTTTCTACCTATGAATTGTCGGAGGGTCATCAGAAACCCAGGCAATGATGCCTGGGGTTAGGACTCTCCAGTCTCATGAAGATCAGAACTGATTGTGATAGGAGAAGTCTCCTGGCGTGGGTAAATGCAGCGCCTAAAACTCAGGTCCACAGCCACAGCAAGAATGAACCCAAGCCAGGGCTACCCGAGGCTGCTGATGAAAGAGGCTTTGCTTCAAGGCGGCAGGCAGGAATGGGGTCTGGATCCTGGAAGAACCACAGCCCGTGACCCCAACCTGCTCCCATACCCCACAGGTGTAAACCAGTAGAAACCCTCCTGCATTTCAGGCCACAGATATTTTTTGCTCTCTTTTGAATGTGAACATGGCCATTTGTACTTATTAAACATCTATCTAAAAGTAAAATTGAAAGCAATTTTGAATTGTGGCTTTCTTTGTGGAAAGAGAGAGGAAAGAAAATCACCATCTCTTAGCGTCTGTCCATGTTGTATGCCATGCTGGACATTTTTGATAAATTATCTTCACAGCACGAGAGTCTTGTTTGGCAGAAAGTAAAACGTATTTGACAGCCACTGTGACCAAACAGTGACGTCCCTGGATGAAGGAGCAGGCGCAGGAGGGGAGGGTGTCAGAGTAGACCCAACTGTGGTGGGAGTCAGCCCCAGGCAAAAGGAACCTGTCCGAGTAGTGGGAACAACAGTGACTTCACCAAGTGACAAGTTGAAGGAAAGCCATCCAGCTCCAGAAGGAAATGAAATCCACCCCTGTCTGCAAATGACCAGTGCTCAAAAGATACAGAATTTATATGCAAAGAAAAAATAATTTTGACCCAACCGTAGAGCAGTTGGAAAAGCTAGGTTTACTTCCCTTTGGATTAAGTCTTCTCTCCCAAACTGCAGCCAGAGGAATCATCAGTGCAGGTTTATTTATCAGGTACTTATGAGCATGATCTTAATCCAGGTGATTTCTGGGCCACGGTAAGCCCACAGAGTTCCATTCTTAAAAACCGATACCCTATTGAAGGGTGCCCCAAAGCAAGCCCCCAATCCCAAGCCTCCAGCATGGCCCCCAGAATGCACTGCAAGCCTCTGAGCCTGAGGGGTCTTTGCACATCTTGTTCCCTCTGCCTGGACTGCCCCCAGCCCTGTGTGATGAAACCTAAAACATCCAATTAACCTTTAAAACCCAGCTCCTCCAGTGAGTTACCTGTCCCGGCTCCCAGCATCCTCCGCACCCCCTGGAGAATGCTTCTCACTTTCTCTCCACTCGCAAGACTTTTCATTCAGTTTTGCATTCCTGAGATCATAGAATTTTACCCCCATTATCTCTGCATCCCCAGTCCTGAGACAACTGCAATGAACCTCAAGAAGCAGATGATTTCTGCGGGATGTAAGTTAAAAGTGTTTGCTATATCACCACAGGCTTTGCCAGTCTTCCTGTGTGTTCGCCTCATGCCAGGCAGGTCCTTTGCTGCTTTGCTAAAATTTTGCAGTGTTTGGAAAAATTCTACATGCAGCACAGCAATTACAGAGCCTTGGATGTCACTCAGGGGCACTGTGAATTTGAGCTATGGTCCCCACGTTGTGACTTCCTCCCCACCGCTCACGCCTGGTAACAGAAAAGGGCAGAAGGCCCAGAGAGGCTCACAAAGCCCTGAACCTCACAAATTTCCCAACAAAAAGCCTCCGGGACTCGTCTCCTCCATCCTGTATCTCACTTCCCTGGATGGTCACATTCCAGGAATGAGACAGCGTGGGACAGTGGCTCCGTCCACCCTTCCACAAGGACGAGCACGAGCCCTCTCAGCCTGCTTTCTCCATCCTCCCCAAACTGTGGTTACGCTGATCTGTTTCAGAAGTTCTCTGTAACCTCTCTGACTCGTGTTCCGGAGGCAGCCGTAGCTATGTCCGCGGGCCACCTCCCGGGCCTCAGCCTGTCCCTCCGGCCAGCTCTCCTGCCTGCTCCGTCTCACACGCCCTTTGCATTGTCTGCCTGGCTTCTGCTGCCTCCTCAGCCCACAGTTTCCCCAACAAATGGATTCATTCTCTCGTTCCTGTCCTCCTTCAAATGCCCCAAGCATCTTCGGTGGTGTTTCAGCTGCAGTCTCTTTCTCTCCCTCCCTCTCCGGAAGCCACGCTTTCCTGGTACCTCGACTTTTCCCTGCAGATCTTTCCTGAGGATCCACTTGCCCCAGGCTCCTCTCTTTCTGAAGTTCTTTTTGGCTTATTACTAGGTTAGGCCTGCAACTGACATCTCCTGTGAAGAGACACCAAACCCATCCCAGGACCTGGTGGCTCTTCCCGGACCTACTCTTTACCCCAACACTGCTCTCAGCACACGGTGTTCGTAAACAAATACTCGGTGGTTGATTGGCATAAATGTTCAGCCTGCTGCTGCTGATGCAACTTCACGAGGCCCCAGTGTCACACCTGTGGAGAGGAAGCACTGATGTTCATGGTTCGTGGAAACTGTACATCCAGCCAGTCATGGTGGTATGTGCCGTAACCACACCACTGGGGAGGCTGAGGCAGGAAGATTACTCAGAGTTGGAGGCCAGCCTGGGCTACGTAGTGAGCTTGAAATACATTGCAAGACCCTGTCTCAAAATAAAACCTGCCAATCAATAAAAGAAAAAAGAAAAGAAACTAGCACATCCACTAGCCAGGTCGTGTGCACTTAACCAGAGTCTTCTTTGTTCTGACCTTTCTGTTGTTCGTAAGTGGTGGCGAAAGCAGATTTGCTGCCTGGTGTGGTGGGCTGGGTGCAGATGACATTGTGCAGCGCCCCTCCTCTGTCTCAGAACCCAGGCTGGCTGTGCTGGGCAAGGCAAAGGAATCATAGATGGGGGTTGGAAAGTTCTGCCCATGTAATTGGGTCTTACACTGAGTAGAGTTCAATATATAGCGAATGAATGTATGCCAGGTATGATCAAAACAGTGAATGCTCACATTTTTTAAACTGATTACAGTAAAAGACACATTGCCGTAAACTGCCCTCAAAACCCTCCCCCTTGTTTTGATCACATTTATCCCATTGCTCTTGCCACTTTCTGAAGCAGCTCTGGAGCCCTCTCTCTTGAGCGTCTTTATACAGTGACTGCTGCTGCTGCTGCGCGCCATCCAACAGAAAGACAGCTCGTAAAAGCATGATGCTGTGTCCTCATCCACCTTGGTCACCTGATCCAGCATCATGTGACTTCCGGCTCTTCACCAAAGTCAAAATGGCCAGCAAAGGGAAACATTTTGAATCCATTCAGGACATGGAGGCAGCCAGGACAGTGCAGCTAAAGACCCTCAGGAAAGAGGACTCCAGGGCTGCTGTAGGAAGTGGCGAGGATGATGGGATGGGTGTGTTGGAAGCAAGGGGGAAGATTTTAAAGGGGATTCATGGCAGTGTGTCTTTTACTGTAATACATCTTTTAAAATTTAAAGTCACCTTATTTCTTGATCATACCATCTGTGTGCTAATATGCCCATGTATAGTCACATGTGGCCATGTGTCCTGAGGTTTCAAGAGGACATTTACGGACAGGTATAATTTTGGGTCCCTATACCAAAGATTTGGGAAATCTTAAGCAACTAACATATCTTAAATTTTAATCTTTTTACGCATAAAATAGATGTGATAAAAACTTTTCCCCTACAGAACTGTTATGAAGGACAGTTACATTCTGGGACTGAGGCAGCATTGAGAGGAAGCCCCTTGCTGGCAAAAAAAATGTCTTCCTTCTCTCCCTGCCTTAACTACCTAATCATACTAAACCTTTCGGGTACAAGGAGAATCTAGACCTTTTTCGTCCACTTAGGAACTTAATGGCTGTCCGTTGTATTCCTGGTAAAAAGGAAAACTCAGATCACCCAGATGCATCCTAATCAAGTCCTTCACAAGAGATTAAATAGATTGTTCTCCCAGATTCACCAATCCTCTACCCCTGCTGTAGCATGCAGAGGTCTCCTGATGAAACATTCCCGGCTAGATCCAGATCTGCTCCTTATTTTTAAATAATACATTCGATTGCCTGGCCGTTCCACTGCCCTGGGACTAGCACCCTGTCTGGGACACACCGGGCACAGCCAGCAGCCCCTGGCACGGGCAGGACCCAGACACTGACCGCCTGCTGTCTATCCCCAGATGGACATGGACGCCGAGGAGAAGCGCCATCGCACGCGGTCCAAAGGGGTTCGAGGTACGTCCCTGTGCCCCCAAAATCAGCTCCCGTCACCTTGGTCCTGCTGAACCACTCTAGGGTTCACTCTGATGCCCTCCCTGCTCCATCCTTTTGGTGATTTCCTGTGAAGAGGGGCAGTGGTGACAGGTGATACGTCCTGACCTATCTTCCATCTCTCTGCAGTTCCCGTGGAGCCGGCAGTGCAGGAGCTGTTCAGGTCAGTGTTTGGTGGGTAAAGCGCGTCCCCACTTGCTGTTTCGGAAATTCATGCCTTACAGCGGGCCGGCTGTGTTCTCAGGTCCCTGGGCAGCCTGCTCATGCCCTGCTGCACGGATGAGATTTATCCCCCAGACCCGCTAATAAAAAGCACCCGCCCCCAGCCCGGGCTGTGTCTCTCCTTCGGTCTGGGCTGCCCCTCCCTCGGTGACCGAGAAAGTTTCAGTCTTCCCACCCGTAGCGCCTGGCACCTGTATAACCGACTCTTTCCTGTTGCAGCTGCCCCACTCCTGGCTGTGATGGCAGTGGTCACGTTAGTGGCAAATATGCGAGACACAGAAGGTAAAGCCTGCATTTTTCACGGTGTCCTGTCTGATGTGACTTAGGTAGCGAGCCACCCCACAGATGGTGGACCTGTGTGGGCAGGTGTGCTCAGGAAACAAGGTGTGGGCCATTTTCTTTGTCCCCTCTCACTTCTCAGAGTCCCTCCAAGAAGCTGTCTTTGTGCTTTTGTACACATTCTCAAACCACAAGCCACTCCAGCACCTCACAGGCAGAAGTGGTGGTATCCCTAGGATGGCTGTGATGAGACCAGCCTTGGGCTCAGTCCCTCTGTGTGTGTACACAGTGCCCAGCCTCCTACGGCACCGGGCTTCCCGCTGTTCATGGGGATGGCATGTTCCTCCTTCCTTGATTTCTCATTCGGGAAACTGGAGAGGATAAATTAAAGTGTAATCCACTGACCTGCCTGTGGGAACTCCAGTTTTACCCATTAAGAAAGCAGGCACTGTCTGGGTGTCACTCTCTGGGTGTTGCAATCCCAGAACCCTGGGAGGCTGATGCAGGATTGCAAGTTCAAGCCCAGCCTGGGCAACTTAGTGAGACCCTGTCTCAATATAAATGAATGAAAAGGCTGGGGATGTAGCTCAATGCAAAGGCCCTGTTTCCAATCCCTGGTATCACACACACAAAAAAAAGTCTTGGGAGATGCAGCCCAAGCATGTCACTAGGCAGTGGCAGGAAGAGGTCATATGTGGGAGATGGTAGGACAGATCGTGCCGGTGGGGCTTTGAGGACAAATGACTCTGTTATTCTGGTAAATAGTGGGACTGTGGGTCCCTATGGGATGGGCATAGATGTCTGGAAGGTAAGGTGACACCACAGCTGGTCTGTCTCCCGGCCCTGGACGGCAGTCACTCAGGCCCAGCTGCACGGTTGCCACTGGGAAGTATGTTCTTCACTGTGACGTGAACGTGGCTGTCCATCTCTGGGGAGATTTTTGTCGTGATGGGCGAGAAGGGAGGATAGGCTACAGCACATCCTTAGCTCGTTTTTCTCAGCTTCATTCTGTCCTAAGAAACCCTCAGCAGCCAGACTTTTGTTACCCTGGACTCTGTGGCAGGGTCCTCCACAGTAGCCAGGGTGACCACTTCTCACTGTGACACGCTCTGCTTCCTTTCCACTGGAGCACTAACTTGTGGGTAAAATACAGCAATTATTTTGATTGCCCTTTAGTAAAAAAAAAAAAAAAACAAATCAAAGGAAAAATTACACATTACTCCCCAATTCCCCATGCTGGCTTAGAAGGAGACAGGGAATTTTTTAATGAGCATCTATCCTGAAACGGTTGTCTGACTTTCCCTGCACGTAGCAGAGGAGCCGTGGGGCATTTTATCCAGGGAATTTTGTAACTTACATCATTCCATGGAATCTATTATAATTCTTTTTACTGCATAAAATCATGAATTACTGAATCATGTTTAAGGATTTTATTGCCTAGTGAAGAAAGTATGTAAGTTCCTGATGTAGTTGTTTTAATATAGGTGCACTATATTCTCAACAGAAAACAAGTTAGCAAACCCTGAGTGAAATCTATGTCCCTCGGTCATGTCTTGAATAGTCAGTAGTTAAACTTTATCATACTGATAGAAAAAGAAGTTACTAACTTTAGCTAAAAAGTTATCATTGGGTTTGAGCCAGTTGTGATTTTACAGAAAAGATCATGAAGTTTCCAACACATCATTTCAAACATTTGAGTAATTTTTATGTTATTAACATGCAATTGTTGGTACATATCAATGGGGTACATTAATATTGGGCACAGTGTGCTCTGCTCAAGTCCAAATAATGAGCCTTTGCCTCTCCTGATTACACCTTTATCAAACGTCCATATTCTTCACTAGGGGCACTGGGTTCAGATGCGGACTGACGTGTCCCTGTGTGGGGTGTGTACGCATCTGTTTGAGACGTCTGCTTCTCTGCCGCAGACAAATGTTACTTAGAGCCCAGCTTGGAGGTTCACACCCATAGGGACCACAGCAGGAGGGCAACTTAACAAGACCCTGTCTCAAAGTAACAAATCAAACAGGCTCAACTGAGAACTCAACTGAGTTCAAGTCCCAGCCCCACAAAATGAAACCAGAACCAAAATGATGCTCATATTGAGCTAAGCGCAACTGGTCCCCACCCTTCTTTTTTGCTTTGGTGCTGATTCATGACCACTGAAGCCCACAAAGTTTGCCAATCAGGTGGGGTGTCAGGGAGGACTCAGAAACACCCGATTTGGAAAACTGTTTCAGTGACATTTTTATTCAACTTCAAGAAATGCCATCATTTTTAACCATGATTAACATTATTTGAATTATTAGAATTCCTTTTATTTAATATAAATTGTTCATTCGGAAAAATGATATAGTATACTGTAGTTGAAGATGAACTATCGCAAGTCTGGACACCCAGATTCTAGTTTTCCCTGTACGATGAATTGTCTGAGGGATTGGGACACCTATGGTCTCTGGTGTCCTCCAGGTGCCAGTGAGAGCTGTGGGCTTTGCTGTCTAAAACCAAGAACCATTCAAAAGTGACATCGTTCAAATGTGACATCATTTCAGAAGTGACGTCATTCAGAAGTGATGTCAGTCTAGAAGTGATGTCATTTGGAAGTGGTGTCATTTGAAAACAGCAGCATTGTCCCAGGCTTCTCTTGGCAGGACATCTTGTGAAGGGAACCATTTGTTTGATGTCTATACATTATCGGTAATTTCTAACTAAAGGATGGTCTTTTAAGCTAAAAAATACTATTCCTCGTTGTGCGAGATAAGACTTGTATATTACAACGTCTTCTATTTGCTGTTTCGAATGTGGAGGATGTAGATTACATCTGGCTTTGTTTTATGCTGGTTTTAAATGATTAGCTGAAGACAAAAATCCTCTGACAGCCGCTGACCCCATGACTGGCACACACCTGGCAGTGCAGGTGTGACAGTGACATTGGTGTGACTCCTGACATCACCAGAACATTGGGGCTTTTTACCCATGACAGGAGTGTGAGCCCTGGCCTCGGCATCAGTCTTATGACAGGCAGATGTGTCACATCGCATATTCAGCTTAAGGCCACTGTCTCGTCTTGCTCATGTGCCCCCCACTGTGGCCCCCAAAGACATTATCTCCATATGCTAAAGAGTGTTTGAAAGTGCAAAAAATCATTTGTGGGGCCAAGGATTTAGCTCAGCAGTTCCGCCACCTGCCTTGAAAGCGCAAGGTCCCGAGTTCGATCCCTGATAGGAGTAAGATTATAACACTTACTTTTGGGATGTTTTGTATTAATTCCAAGATAAGCAGTGGGTAGACATTTATTTGTGTTATAGCCCATAAACAATTTGTGGTGGCCAGTAAGATCATGTCCAATAGCATGGTTATATGGTAAATCTAAAAGATCAATTAGTAACAATAAAAGAGAAGTGAACACATAATTTCTCCAGAAATCCGGGATATAGCAGGGTTCATATAATACTGCTTTCAGTGTGAGTCTTCTGACAGCCAGAGCAATAACCAGAAAGGTAAATGAGAGAGGCCACTGTCTAGGAAATCTGGCTTCTTGGTTTTTTACTCCATTGTTCCACTTCTGTACACATGGCTCAGTATATTCTACTACTCTGTGTGCTTACGGCTTTTCTTAAAGTGCACTTAGAGGTAGCCAGAAACATTTATGCATCTCAAACACTGCATCTCAAAACTCTAAGCATAGTTTCATTTTTCAGATAGACAAACTAAACCAAAGTCAAGTTTTACATCCATGAGCCTGAAAAGGAAACCTCCCGACTGACTTGGCTCTCTTCACCTGTGTTACCTCCTACCTTATTGCTCAAGCTGGCTTGTGGGCAAATAAGTATTTAAAATGCCAAAGACAAGAGCCCTCTCGTGTGTCTGCAGCTGTATTCTGGTGGACTATTGGTAGAAATAAAATGGAATACTCAGAAGGCACCAGACATGGCACTGAGGATGTCGCTGAGTGTACCCCCTGACCTTCCCAGGCAGGGAGGCCTCCAGTCTACACACCAAGGCTGGGAGGCCAGCGCTGGCCCCCCGCTACCTGGCTGGTCCTCAACAGTGGACACAAGCAGAGGGGTGGGGCTCAGAGGGGAACCCGGGGCTCTGCGTCTCCCATGGCATGGCCCATTCCGAATATTAATACCCTCATTCCAGTGGGGACGTGGGCAAAGAATCCATACCCATCAGCTGGACTTGTTGTCATTCAATGTAGTTCAGCTCCCTGGCCAAGAGGTTCACAATGTTTTATGGATACTGAGATATAAACTAAAAAACCAAATGTCACACTATTTTCACAAAAACTTATATTTACCCTTAAAATAATAGTTCATTGTTATCAAAGCTTTTTGAACTTTCCCAATGAAAATTGAAAATAAGAATAACCCTAAATATATTACTGTTTACTACTGGGTAAATACAGGAATTGAAATCTTAGATTTATCTGTAATAATTACACACATATTGGAGTATTTTATATGAATTGGATGTGCTTACTATTCTATAATAATTTTTGCAGAAATCTCCAATGTGTGAGAGAGAAAGGGAAAATGGAGAGAGGAATTTATAGCATGGATTCATTTTTTTACATATCTGTTTGTGATCCTTCTAAATTTATTTCTTTTTTTTTTTTTTTTTTGTAGTGGAGATCAAACTCAGGTCCTTCTGCTTGCAAGGCAGGTGGCAGAACCACTGAGCTAAATCCCCGGCCCTATTTCTTTTAAATTTAACGGATTTCATTTAGATTTATCCTTCACTGCAATTTTTTAATTACCTGCTTGTCATGCATCGGGCTCTGAAAAAATATCCAACCAGCTGATACTTGAGCTTTGGGATCTGCGCACACCCAACAGACACTCTGAAGTTTGGCGCTGGGTCTTGGTATTATATCTCAATCCTTCCCAATCTAGAAAACACTGAGCTAAACTATTTAATTTGCAACTTTCAGATGAAAAGCTTCGAATGGTAGCTTTTCTTTTTTATTAGAAAATGATTAGATGCTCCCTGGCTTTTTG